TCTGTCTCTATGGATTTGCCTAGTCTGGTTATTTCATATAAATGGAATCACACAATACGTGATATTTTTGTGACAGGCTTCTTTCATTCAGCATCATGTCTTCCAGGTTCATTCATGCTGTAGCAGGGATCAATGCCTCTTTTTTTTTTTTTTTGAGTTGGGGTCTCACTCTGTTGCCCAGACTGGAGAACAGAGGCACGATCACAACTCACTGCAGCCTCCACCTCCCGGACTCAGGTGATCCTTCCACCCCAGCCTCCAGAGTAGGTGGGATTACAGGGACCTGCCACCATGCCTGGCTATGTGCTTGCATTTTTGTAGAGATGAGGTCTCACTATGTTGCCCAGGCTGATGTCGAACTCCTGGTGCAAACATTCCTCCCACCTCAGTCTCCCAAAATGCTGGGGTTGCAGGCGTGAGCCACTGTAACCAGCCACTTTTTCCTCTTGTGAACTGGGTTGTTTGTTTTCTTATCTTTGAGCCTGGAGAGTTCATTATGGAATCTGAGCACAAATCCTAATCAGATATTCATTTTACAGACATTTTCTCTGGGTATGTGGCCTGTCTTTTCATCTTCTTACCAGCATCTTCTCAGAGTCTAAGTTTTTGATTGGATGAAATTAGTTGTTTTTTTGTTTTTTGGGGGTTTTTTTAGTTGTAGTCTCACTCTGTCACCCAAGCTGGAGTGTAGTGGCACTCTCAAAGCCACCGCAACCTCAACCTGCTGGGCTCAGGTGAACCTTCCTCCTCAGCCTTCCAAGTAGCTGGAACCATAAACGCACGCTACCATGCCCGGCTAATTTTTTTTATTTATTGCAGAGACAAGGTCTCGCCATATTGCCCAGACTGGTCTCAAATTCCTGAGCTCAGGCAATCCTCTCGCCCCCGCCTCCCAAAGTGCTGGGTTGACGGGCAGGAGCCACCATGCCAACTGGTACACTCACTTCCACTGGCGTCTCATGGGCTAGGGTGTAGTCGTGTGAGCTCACCTGGCCATAAAGCGCTCTGGGAAATGTAATTTCTAACTGGATGCCGGAGGGTTTGCTAACCCTTGCGGCTTTTGAGACTAGTGTGAAGAAGGGAGATGGATTGTGAATACACTGAGCATCTCGGCTAAATCAGCTTTGGGGGCCTAGATCAGTCAGGTCCAGACAGGAGACTGAAACCACACAGTAGCTTGAACAGGAAACGCTTAATGTAAGTAATTAGGAGGCTACCATTTAGAAAATAACAAGTTCAGCCAGGTTCAGTGCCTCAGCCTGTAATCCCACGCTTTGGGAGGCTCAAGTGAGTGGATTGCTTGAGCCTGCGGGTTCGAGACCCGCCTGGGCAACTTGGCGAGACCTCATCTCTACAATAAAATAAAAAAATCAGCCGGGCGTGGTAGCGTGTGCCGGTAATTCTGGCTACTCGGAAGGCTGAGGCGGAAGGATCGCCGGAGCCCAGCAGGTTGAGGCTGCGGTGGCCGGGAGCAGCCACAGCACTCCAGTCTGGGTGACAGAGTGAGACTCCAACTCAAAAAAAAAAAAAGAAAAGAAAAGAAAAGAAAATAACAGGTTCTGTGAGGGGCTTTTTGGTAACAGTCAGAGAGCACATGCAGGTGCCACACAATTCACCCCGTTGACAAAGATGTGAAGAAACTGGAACTTTTTTTTTTTTAAGTTGGAGTCTCTGTCACCCAAGCTAGAGTGCAGTGGGCTGTTCACAGCTACCATAGCCTCGACCTGCTAGGCTCAGGCGATCCTTCCACCTCAGCCTTCCAAGTGAATCACCACGCCTGGCTGATTTTTTTTTAATTTATTGTAGAGACGAGGTCTCACCAAGTTGCCCAGGCTGATCTCGAACCCGTGACCTCAGGCAATCCTCGCACCTCGGACTTCCAAAGTGCTGGGATTATAGGTGTGAGCCACCACAACTGGCCTAATTTTTTTTTTTTTTTTTTTGAGTCGGAGTCTCACTCTGTCGCCCAGGCTGGAATGCAGTAGCACAATCACAGCTCACCACAGCCTCTACCTCCTGGGTTCAGGTGATCCACCCTCTTCAGCCTCCCAAGTAGCTGGGACTACAGGTGTGTGCCACCACTCCCTGCTAACATTTTGATGTATTGTAGAGATGGGACTTTACTATGTTGTCCAGGATGGTCTCAAATTCTTGACCCCAAGCAGTCCTCCCATCTTAGCCTCCCAAAATGCTGGGATTACAGGCATGAGTCACTGTGCCCGGACAGAAGCTGGAAATCTTGTGCACTGCTGGTGGAAATGTAAAATGTAAAACACTGCAGCTGCTATGGAAATCAGTTTGGCAGTGACTCAAAAAATTAAACATAAAATTACCATATAACCCAGCAATTCCACTTTTGGGCATATACTCAAAAGAACTGAAAGCAGGAACTCTGACAGATATTTTGCACACCCGTGTGCACAGCTGCATTTTTACAGTGGCTAAAAGGTGAAAATACCTCAAATGTCTGTTGATGAATGGATGGATAAACCAACTCAACTGGGCTCTATCCATATGGTGGAATATTATTCAGCCTTAAAAAGGAAGGAAACTGGGCCGGGCTTAGTGGCTCAGCCTGTAATCCCAGCACTTTGGGAAGCCAAGGCGAGTGAATTGCCTGAGCCAGTGGGTTTGAGATCAGCCCAGGCAACTTGGCAATACCTCGTCTCCACAATAAGCCAAGGGAAAAAAAAAAAAGGAAGGAAGGAAATTGCTCCAACATGGATGAAGCTTGAAGACACGATGCTTAAGCTAAACAAGCCAGACACCAAGGGAAATATGATTCCACTTATGTGGGGTACTTAGAATAGCCAGATTCATAGGGAGAGAAAATAGAATGGTGGTTATTGAGGTCTGAGGGGGATAAGAACTTCAAGCCAGGCGTGGTGGCTCACGCCTGTAATCCCAGCACTTTGGGAGGTGGAGGTGAGAGGATTGCCTGAGTCCAAGGGTTCAAGACCAGCCTGGGCAACTTAGCGAGACCTCATCTCTACAAAAAATTAGCCAGGTGTGGTGGTGTGCACCTGCGGTTCCAGCTACTTGGAAGGCTGAGGTGGAAGGACTGCCTGAGCCCAGCAGGTCAAGGCTGTGGTAACCGTGAGCATACCACTGCACTCCAGCCTGGGCAACCGAGTGAAACTCTGACTCGAAAAAAAAAAAAAGAATTTCAGTTTGGGAAAATGGCAAAGTTTTGGAAATGGATGTGAATATATTTTATACCACTGAACTGTACACTTTAAAATGACTAAAATGGTTGGGCACGATGGCTCATGCCTGTAATCCCAGCACTTTGGCCGAGGTGGGAGGATCACTTGAGTCCAGGAGTTCAAGACTAGAGTAGGCAACATAGCACCCCCATCTTTAAAAAAAAATAGTTAGGGCCTGGTGTGGGGTCTTATCCCTGTAGTCTTGGTATTTTGGGATGCTGAGGCAGAAGGATTGCTTGGCCAGGAATTGAGTGAAACCCTGTCTCTACCAAAAAAAAGAGGTTAAAACTGCAAATGTTATGTATATTTTAACACACAAAATGTTATTAACTAGTAACAGGGGCTAACCTACCCAGGGATAAGGAGAACGCCAGAGAACAGCTAATAGGGGGCTAAAACCTCTAGGGCTAAAGCCTAATCTCCAGGGAAGAAATAAATTTGGGAGAAAGACTCCTCTGTCCCACCCCCACCCAAGATGAGGATGTCGCAGGAGAGGGTGTGGACACGCTCCCTACATAACTGGGAGGGTCACCGAGGTACTACGGGCTGCAGAAATCTGCAGAGCCGAAGGGGACATGTCCCTGGGTGTCCACTGCAGAGCCGGCCGCTGTCCATCACTAGATCGCGCGGCCAGGCGCCCAGGAGGACCAGGGAGAGAAGCCTGTGCTCAGTCTGCGTTCCTCCACCGCCCTCTAGTGACAAAGCTTGACACCGATGTCCCCCAAATGGGAAACAGTGAATCTGGAGGCTGGAGGCCACTGCCAGTAACCGAACCAGGGCGCATGCTAGAAAGCTGACCGGTGACCACGAACAGCTTTCTCGTCTGACCCTCCAGGGGCCGGTCTCCTGGAATCCAAACCTGGGAACTGGGCAGTTGGTGAGGACCACTCAATTTTTTTCTGGGACCAAGGCTGGAGTACAGTGGCACACTGCTCACGCCACCGTAGCTTCGACCTACTGGGCTCAGGTGATCTTTCCACTTCAGCCTCCCAAGTAGCTGGAACTACAGGTGTGCACCATCACGCCCAGCTAATTTTTTGATTTATTGTAGAGACGAGGTCTCGCTATGTTGCCCAGGCTGGTCTGGAACTCTTGGGCTCAGGCAACCCTCTCACCTCTGCCTCCCAAAGTACTGGGATTACAGACGTCAGCCACCATGTCAGGCCCTGGTTTTTTGGGGGTTTTTTTTTTGAGTTGGAGTCTCACTCCGTCGCCCAGACTGGAGTGCCGTGGCCGCTCCCGGCCACCGCAACCTCGACCTGCTGGGCTCTGGCGATCCTTCCGCCTCAGCCTTCCAAGTAGCCGGAACTACAGGCGCATGCTACCACGCCCAGCTAGGTTTTGATTTATTGTAGGGATGAGGTCTCGTCAAGTTGCCCAGGCAGGTCTCGAACTCACGGGCTCAGGCAATCCACTCACCTCGGCCTCCCAAAGTGCTGGGATTACAGACTGAGCCACTGAGCCTGGCCTGTTTTTTTTGTTTTTGTTTTGTTTTGTTTTGACGCTGTTTTGTCTTAAGAGTTAGGGTCTCGCTCCGTTGCCCACGCTAGAGTGCAGTGGTGCAATCATAACTCCCTGAAGTCTCAAACTCCTGGGCTTTAGCCATCCTCCTACCTCAGCCTCCTGAGTACCTGGGACTGGCTACAGGTACACACCACCGTGCCTGGCTCATTAAAAAAATTTTTTTTTTAATCTTGTAGAGATGGGTTCTCACCATGTTGCCCAGGCTGGTCTCAAGCTTTCAACCTCAAGCGATCTTCTTGCCTTGGCCTCCCAAAGTGCTGGGATTACAGGTGTAAACCACTGCACCAGCCCCTCCATATATTAAAGAGCTCTGTCAGCCAGGTGCAGTGGTAATCCCAGCACTTTGGGAGGCCAGGGTGAGAGGATTACCTGAGTCCAGGGGTTTGAGACGAGTCTGGGCAACTTGGCGAGACCCCATCTCTACAATAAATTAAAAAATCAAGCTGGGCTCGGTGGCTCAGCCTATAATCCCAGCACTTTGGGAGGCTGAGGCAAGTGGATTGTCTGAGCCTGCAGGTTCGAGACCAGCCTGGGCAACTTGGCGAGACCTCATCTCTACAAAAAAATTAGCTGGACATGGTAGCGCATGCCTGTAGTTCTGGCTACTTGGAAGGCTGAGGTGGAAGGATCACCTGAGCCTAGCAGGTCTAGGCTGTGGTGGCTGTGAGCATGCCACTGCCCTCCAGTCTGAGTGACAGAGTGAGACTCCAACTCAAAACAAACAAACATGATCAGTTATCATAATACTATAAGAAAGGGATTGGCAGTAGTGGGAAACTGCCAGGGGAGGTGGGGGTGCACCTCATCAGCAAGGGTACCTGCATAATGACCATTTGTATACTTAACCCTGAATTGTACCCTACATCCTTAAAATAAAAAAATTAATCAACAAACAAACAAACAAAAGGAGTGCTGCCTGGGCTAACAGACAAGTCTTGAATGTCAATGGCTGGGCCCAGTAGTTTATTTCTTGTTCCTGCAAACTCCAACCCGGCCAGAAGGGTGGAGGGAGGGAGGGAAATCCACACAGTTCCAGACACTGGACTCCTTCCATGTTAAGCCTCTGCCATCCACCCTGGCAGACCCAGAAGCTCTGCTGGAGTCCACATCCAGCCAGCAGACAGGAGCAGGGAGTCACACGGGACGGTTTATGGGCCAAGCCTGGAAATAGCCCAACATCACCCCCTACATGTCCCTGGCCAGACTTGGTCTCATGGCCCCACATATAGCTGAAGACAAGAAAAGAAAATACAGGCCAGGCATGGTGGCTCATGCCTGTCATTTCGGTACTTTGGGAGGCTGAGGCGGGAGGATCGCTTGAGGCCAGGAGTTTGAGACCAGCCTGGGCAACATAGTGAGACCTCGTCTCTACAATAAAAAGAAAAAAATGTAGTCCCACCATATTTCCAGCAGAACGATGGCCCGGCGTGGGATAGATAGCTTGCTAGCCTCTGTCGTGTGCCCTTTCTGGCTCTGTCCCCATGGATGGAAGACTTTGTTTCTCTGGGGCTCAGTTTCCTGCTCTGGAAATGAGGTTAATCAGCCCTGGCTTTTCTGCTGGCTGTGAGGAATCAGTGAGGTGAAACAGGCGGGGATCGCGCCATCCGTGCCGTCCTCGATCTGACTACTCCCCCTCAACCCTTCTGCCCCCTAACCTGCCCGATTTCTCCAACAGGCACCAACTGGATGATCGAGATCATCTGTCTGATCCTGAGGAACGGGGACCCCGCCTGGATCCGCTCGGTGCCCATCTGGGAGCGTGCACCCTGGTGTGAGGCCATCGTGGGCGCCTTCAGCCTCCCAGACCAGACCAGCCCCCGTCTCATGAGCTCACACCTCCCCATCCAGATCTTCACCAAGGCCTTCTTCAGCTCCAAGGCCAAGGTGCGAGTGTGTGTGTGTGTGTGTGTACGGGTGGGAGTTGGGGACAGGGAGCATAACAGACCAGCCCTTTCAGCATTGCTTTCTTTCCCCCCCCCTTTTTTTTTTTTTTGAGCAGAGTCTCACTCTGTTGCCCAGGCTGGAGCACAATGGCATGCTCACGGTCACCGCAGACTCAACCTGCTGGGTTCAGGTGATCCTTCTGCTTCAGCCTTCCAAGTAGCTGGAATTACAGGCATGTGCTACCATGCCCGGCTAATTTTTTTATTTACTGTAGAAACAAGGGCTCACCAAGTTGCTCAGGCTGGTTTCAAATTCCTGAGCTCAGGCAATCCTCTCGCCTCAGCCTCCCAAAGTGCTGGGATTATAGGAGTGAGTCAATGTGCCCAGCCAGTACTGCTTTCTTTCTATTTTTTTTTTTTTTTTTTTTTTTTTTGAGTTGGAGTCTCACTCTTGTCGCCCAGGCTGGAGTGCAGTAGCACACTCATAGCCACCACAGCCTCGACCTGCTGCTGGGCTCCGGCGATCCTTCCGCCTCAGCTTTCCAAGTAGCTGGAACTACAGATGCATGCCACCACGCCTGGCTAGTTTTTGTGATTCATTGTAGAGACCAGGTCGCACCAAGTTGCCCAGACTAGTCTCGAACCCGTGGACTCAGGCAATCCTCTTGCCTCGGCCTCCCAAAGTGCTGGATTACGGACTGAACCAATGCCCCGGCCCAGCACAGCTTTCTTGAGTGCATGGTGACCGTGCCCGTAGTCCCAGCTACCCGGGAGGCTGAGGCGGGAGGGTCACCTGAACCCAGGAAGTGGAGGCTGCGATGATCCTTGACCAAGCCTCTGCACTCCAGCCTGGGAGACAGAGTGAGACCCTGACTCAAAAAAAAAAGGTGGGAGGGACTTCAAGGGACTTGGATCCTGCTGTGCCCAATGCCTTCTCCCCTACCCCAATACCCACGCACAGGTCATCTACATGGGCCGGAACCCCCGGGATGTGGTGGTCTCTCTCTACCATTACTCCAAGATCGCCGGGCAGTTGAAGGACCCCGGCACGCCCGACCAGTTCCTGCGGGACTTCCTCAAAGGCGAAGGTGAGCACTAGGAGGAAACTGGAGGGAGGGGGGTCACAACCCAAGCCCTGGGGGAGAGAAGTCGCCAGAGGACCCAGAGAGTCAGGGGGCCAGAGGAGGGAAGAGGAGAGAGAGGCAGAGACGACACCGGGCCTTACGGAGACAGACAGCAGGAGGCCAGGAAAAAGCAGCAACAAAAGAGACAGAAGGAGAGATGCAGACCAAGAGACAAGAGGGTGAGATACAGAGATGGGGAGAGATTGAGAGATGCAGAGTACACAGGGACAGAGACAAGGAGACAGAGGCCAGGCTCAGTGGTTCACGCCTGTGATTTCAGCACTTTGGGAGGCCAAAGTGGGAGGATTGCCTGAGCCCAGGAGTTCAAGACCAGCCTGGGCAACACAGCAAGACCTCGTCTTTACAAACAATCCCAAAATTAGCCAGGCAAGGTGGCATGGGCCTGCAGTCCCAGTTACTTGGGTGGTTGAGGCAGGAGGATCATCTGAGCCCAGGAGTTCGAGGCTGTGGTAAGCCATGATTGTGTCACTGTGTGTGTGTGTGTGTGTGTGTGTGTGTGTGTGAGAGAGAGAGAGAGAGAGAGAGAGAGAGAGAGAGAGAAGCTGACTAAGAGAGAAAAATAAATGCAGAGAGACAGAATCAGAGAGAGACCAGGAGAGACAGGAAAACAAAGGAACACCGGCCCCAGTGCTAAGAAAGACAGGGTTGGCCAGGCGTGGTGGCTCACGCCTGTCATCCCAGCACTTTGGGAGGCAGAGGTGAGAGGTTTGCCTGAGCCCAGAAGTTTGAGACCAACCCGGGCAACTTGGCGAGACCTCATCTCTACAATAAATCGAAAAATTAGCCAGGCATGGTGGCACATGCCTGTAGTTCGAGCTACTTGAAAAGCTGAGGCAGGAGGATCGCCGGAGCCCAGCAGGTCAAGGCTGTGGTGGCCAGGAGCATGCCACTGCACTCCAGTCTGGGCGACAGAGTGAGACTCCGGCTCAAAAAAAAAAGGCAGGGCGCCCGAGCTACATGTTCCTTTCCCAGCCCCTGTCAGAGACCCTGACTGTGGAGAGGAGTCCGAGTGTGTGGGGGCGCAGGGATCGGACAGCTGATGGACTGCATGGAGAGACAGACAGACGAGGACCACCCCAGAAGGGCCACCCGGGAGGCCCAGGCTGAGGGAGACCCTGAACTTGGCAGACAGGGAGAGGCCCTGGGAAGGGCGTCCAGCTCCCAGGGGCAGACCTGGGGGTGTGGAGGGTGGAGCTATTAGGCCCCTGAGCCCCAATGGGGGACCCCCAGCCCTCACCTCCCCCCGCCCCTCCACCTACAGTGCAATTTGGCTCCTGGTTCGACCACATTAAGGGCTGGATTCGGATGCAAGGCAAAGAGAACTTCCTGTTCATCACCTACGAGGAGCTGCAGCAGGTGGGTGCCTCCCCCTCAGCCCGGTGTCCATCCCCCCCGCTCCGCACCCTGCTCCCTTCCCCCAACCCTCCTCCTTTCCTGGGTCCCCTGGAC